GTAAGGAAGGATGAGTGGAGAGGATGGTGCTTGAGGGGAACTTCTTCAAGTACCATGTAGCGAGCGGCTTTGGGGCAGTCGGGGGAGCGACGGATGCCTATTTCCCCATCTTACTGATAGCATCCTTGGACCTGCAAGTGTGTGCACGATCCATAGTAGTGTTTGGGGTGGCTCTGGGTTCAACCCTAGTGAAGCAGGGGGCTGATTATTTTCAATACTCACCCATTTAGCTCGGGAGGCCTTAGGACCTCCAACATGCAGGTGCATTTGTTTATGAGACCTTCGATTGTTTCGAAAGTCATGTGCTTATTTGATCACAGCCTTTGGGCTTCCTCGAGCTGCAGGGTTATCATGCATGGTATTAGTGGCTTGAGAACCACCTATGTTGTGTCCTGGTCGGAAGAAACCTGAAGCAGTTGAGGAGACTGGGATGGGCTGTTGCCTGCCCCGTCTCGTCAGAGTGACAGTCAGACCATCAGTGATGATGTATGTGTATGTGTGTGAGGCGGTTGCCAGGGCACGCGAACTGGGGTAGAAATTTCCATAGTGTGGTGTGTGCAAGGATGTGTCAGCACTGGCGATGCCCTTGTGTGACACAAGTGGGGCTGCCTTTTGGTTACCCACAGAGACAGTGATCTTGTTGGGACCCACCGAGCAAAGGGGAGTAGTGGTGAGAGGACCATGTTGATAGTTGCGACTAGCGGGATACCTGTCAGTGACAAAGTGCTTATGAAGGGGGCGACTGTAGTTCCAGCCATGCAATTCATCAAGGGCTTTCTCTTTGATGTCAGAGGAGGAGGGACAAGGGGTCTAAGTGCCCATGCGCCGACTTTTCCTAGATTAGACTAGGAGCAGGCTAGGTAGGCCGCTCGAGTAGAATGTGGGGAAGGCAGGATCAGTTGATCCACTCGCCACAGGTGAGGTCTCAAATATGGGGATGTAGAAATCCTCAATCTGGACAAAGAAGGGATAATAGGATTCCATTGCAATTTTAGAGAGAGAAAGAAAGGAAGTTGTTTCCTGAAAACAATCCAAGCCAATGATAGGGTGGTGTGTCCCTAGTGGAGTCACCAGTTAGTCGGGGTTTGGATTTCACTTCAGTCCTCGCGCTGAAGGGGCATGCGCGTGGGGGAGAAAATCCTCTCCCAAACAACCGCGGGGATCCACGTATGCTGGGCACCTATGGGTGCGTGTGAACGGGCTCTCCTGGGAGCGGATAGGAACCAACAACGAGAAAGAGTTTTACAGTGAGGGTGCGTTTGGACGCTTATCTCACCGTTTGGGGTTCGTGGGACACGCCCGGGCGGTTCGCCTTCTTAGAGAAATTACGAAGCCCTCTGGCTGTCTGCCAGCACGGTTTGGACTAGGACTCTCTTCAGCCTTTCAAATGATCTCTTCTCTTTCTCTTTCTCTAGCTCGCAACTACAATGAGGCTCTATTATCCCTCCCTATGACAATTCCCTCTGAGAGGCTGACTGGCTGACGAAGAGGGTACGAGAGAACGCAAGGGTTAGGACTTGTGGTTTCACTCGGGATCGCAAGTCTGTTGTGGATGTGAGTTGCTGCACGGGGGCATACGGTGTGCAGAGGAGAAAAGAGAGAAGGCACGGGATGTGACCCGGCTTAAGAGGAAAAGAGAATGGGTCTGCGCAGTCAGAGATACTTTCTCTCTCTGAGGAGGAAAGGGACCACGCACTCAGGGGTATTTTCTCTCTGAAAGTTTTCTCTTTCCTCTCGACTGGATTAAGGGTTCAGAAGCAAAAGACAACTGAAAACAAGCGTTATGTCTCTGTTTTAGTTATGAATAATCCACCCTTTCACAAATGACTTTAGCTTGTTTATATAGAGAACTCACCTAACAAGGGTGAATGCTAAAAAACTAAGCTTAATTATAATTAAAAAAATTAGAATAAAATCTTGAAATTAGGTACAATGACCAAAACTCCGTTAAAACCTTTTATGCTAACGACAAAACCATCCCTACCTGAGGGTCCCTTCCACCATTGCCAGGTCTTGGAAGCTCTTCCAAAGACTTGCAGCGATGGTCCAATTGATTTGTCATCATATCCTCAGTATTTGTTCCATTCTGAGCATTTTGATGCCTTTTGATCGTGCTGAGGTAGCCTTTTCCCACGGGGAGGAAGTCTGGCTAGATTTGTGAACTTTGATCGCTAATTTCGTTCAACCCGTGATCCGCTAAGTCGTTATCTTGTTTGTAGATGAAAGAGGAGACTGACATATTCGTTTTGCACCAAGTTTGGTCTATTTTGGTCTTCATTGTGGCATTTTCTAATTTAGTAGTTCACCGAAAAAAGGGTTTTCGGCGACCGAGCGAACTTGTTTTTCTTGTAACCTTGGGATTTGTGCTTATCGGACCTTGGATCAGGTACAACAGTTATACCAGTTTGCAGCTCTTCGCAAGGTGGTTACATTGAACTCATTGTCACGATGATCCGATGTGCAGATCTCGAGCTGTGCTTCACGAGATTCGAGATATCTTCTTCTTAAAACCTTGATTTTTCTGGTTTTGTGGTCACCTTCATTCTAGAAGAAGTTTGACTTTGGGTCGAGCCACGGTGTATGCCTTAGATCAAAATGACGAGGCTACCGCAATCTATAACATGTCCAAATTTCAGCTTTTTCTGATTATAGACGAAGGTGTTGTGGGTCCTTGAATTCCTTCTCGAGGTGTGATGTTACAGTCTCCGTGCTTGGGGACTAGTTCAGTGAAGCCACACCGCGATAATATAAAACCTATCCGTTTTGGGGCAGTATAGGCGTAGATCCCTTTAGGGTAGTCCGATTGAGCCCAAATTTGGTCCTTAGTGGTTTTTTGACGTTCTAAATGCACCAGAGGTGGTCTAGTACTGTTCTGAAGCCGTTAGCGTAGGACTAAATTTGTAAGGTGTTTCCTTTATACGATAGCACTCTTCTCAAGTTGTCTGGCTTGAGGCTTATTTCACGGTACAACTTTGGTATGTCAGTGTCTTGAGTACCAGCATAACCAAACTGTTACTGACTCTCTCTTTATTCGTGTGGGAGATGTAAGTACATCAAAAATGATGTATAACAATGTCTTTGTGAAGAAAGACATCCTCATATGAGCCAAAGATACTACCTCCATGTACGAAATGTCCTCTTGAGCTTCTCACTGTAATTGGTATGGCAGCCATGAGGATAATAGAGCTACATGCAATGCGGCTCTTCCATGAGAGGTTAATAGAATTTTTAGTAGCAAACAAATGTAAATTGTTGATTTTCACTTATGTATGTGTAATGCATACTGATCTTCCGCGAGATTGCCTACTGTTGATTTTTAGTTAGAAACAAATGGATGCTGCTGATTTTTCACTTAAGTTTACTACAAATAATGCAGCATCATCTCTTTCATGTGTAATGCTTTTACAAACAAAGAAATGCCTGCTGTTAATTTACAGTTACAAACAAATGTATGTAGCTGATTTTAAGTTGATACAGATGGATGTTGTTGACTTTTCACTTAAGTTCACTATGTGTAATGCACCATCATCTCTTCCATGTGTAATGCTTTTGCAAACAAAGAAATGCTTGCTGCTGCTTTTCAGTTAAAAATAAATGTATGTTGCTGATTTTTAGTTAGAAACATATCGATGCTGCGGATTTTTCACTTAAGTTCACTATGTGTAATGCACCGTCATCTCTTCCATGTGTAATGCTTTTACAAACAAAGAAATGCTTGCTGCTGCTTTTCAGTAAGAAACAAATGTATGTTGCTGATTTTTAGTTAGAAACCGATGGATGCTACTGATTTTTCCCTTAATGTATAATGATATGAAACAAACAAATGCATGTTGCTGATTTTCAGTTATAAACAAATGTATGTTACTGATTTTCAAATAGAAACAGATGGATGCTACTGATTTTTCACTTAAGTTCACTATGTGTAATGCAGTTATAAACAAATGTACGTTGATGATTTTCAATTAGAAACATATGGATGCTACTGATTTTTCACTTAAGTTCACTATATGTAATGCACCATCATCGCTTCTATGTGTAAAGATATGAAACAAACAAATGCCTACTGCTAATTTTCAGTTAGAAAAAAATGTATGTTTCTGATTTTTAATTAAAATCAGATGGATGCTGCTGATTTTTCGCATAAGTTCACTGTGTGTAATCTTTTTACAAACAAAGAAGTACCTGCTGCTAATTTTCAGTAGAAGCAAATCTATGTTGCTGATTTTCTGTTAGAAACAATTGGATGCCGCTGATTTTTCACTGAAGTTCACTATGTGTAAGGCACCATCATCTCTTTCATGTGTAATGCCATGAAACAAACAAATGTTTGTGATTGTTTACAGTAATGTGGAGGTCTTTATTGATTGCAGGCATAAAATGCAACTGGGAAATCAGAGGAAGAGAAGATGAATAGGATGTGTTCTATAAAAAGGAAGCTATGGGGCTCATCAATTTGTACTCCTGCAAATTTGGATACAATGATTTCATTTTGACTTAGCTTTGTTGATTTTCAATAAAAAAAGAAGAAATTATTGTGAACTTTAGAAATGTTAGAAAGAGATTATGGAAATTGTTGCAACTTATCTTTCTATAATTCGTCCCTGTTATTATTTGTTTTGATGGATGACAGGGATTATGTAATTGGAAATGTAGATTGTCTTTTTAAATCCTTAGCCCTTTAAGATGTTGAGGATGGATGCCCATTTAAATTCTGCTAGTCTATTCTTTGTTTCTAAATTCTGGAAAACAAGATGTTGGGGATGGATGCTCATTGATTGCTACTCATCTCAAGCTTCACACAAAACAAGATGTCAAGGCTTTAACATAAGGAAGAAGTGCCCATCCTCAAATTTTCAAAATTAGGAAATAGAACATGATGGCATGATGCAAAACCAGTGCATAGAACAAGAGAATTACATGGAAGTCATTATGACAATCAATGTACTCCATTTTCAACTAAATCATTCCCATAATTTTTAAAATCAACGCACAAGACCAGCGAATAGAACAAGATTCAATACATGCGCATAGAGAGTCATGTATAACACAGAACAAGCAAGAAGCAGAGAACCAACCAGAGCTCTCACAAAGAAAAGCATATGCTAATTACACATGAACACTCACATAAAACAAGTAGAACGTTTTCAACCAAATCATTCTTGAAATTCGAAAAGAACAAAGAACAAGCACTCACACAAGTGAATTAAACAACACGTCTCTCACCCTGCAAGTATACCTAAGAAGACATTCCAAGCCAAGCAAAGAACAAACTTGAGATATCCAGCATAAGAGGGAGAAGGAGAGAGAGAGAAACCTGGAAAACTACAAAAATATCAAATGCATTAGATGTCATGCGACAACAAAACAAGAAAACTAACAAGGTTCATAGCCTTTCATGAGTTACAAAACCACCAATCCATTCCCCTCAATTACTTTTTAGAAGTAGTAGTTCAAACATAAATGCATTTGTTATACACACAAAATATAGAAATTGTTGTATACGCCATAAGGCGTCAACAAGTCAATCTTTAATGATCATCGGTTCGGGCTTGACCATGGGATGTTCTTACAATGCTTGTGAATGATTCCTTCATTGCATGTTACAACACCTCAAGTTCATATTATAGTTCAACCCTTCTACATATTCATCACACCACTGAAAAAAGTACACCCTAGGCAACGATAGTACATGCTTCCAAAGTTGGTTTGGGACCTTAATACGTGAGTTATATGGTAAGTAGCAAGATAGAAGTTTGTGGCTTGGATATCCTCCATTGTTTGTGGTAGTAGGGGTGGCAATGGGTCGGGTCTATCCCGTCGGGTCCTAAGTCTAATTGGGTCCATTGTCACAAACACTATGAGCTTCTTTTTTTTTACGTTTTTGTTTACTATCATATCAAATCCTATATTATTGGCAACGAGGTCACAATCACTTGCCAATAAATTTCAAATTGTCAGATTTGTCGTTTAATAACTAAAGATAACTACGAATTCTTATTATTAATGGTCTTTAGTACACCCTAACAAATAGGGCACGAAGTATTTTATTTCCAACAGTTTACAAGAAGGGGTTAAGTATGGGTGGGGTCCAACCGGACCTGGAACCCGACCCGAATAGTGTTCAAGTCCAGGTTTTGGACCCAAACCTGACCCATGGGTCCAAATGTTGGACTCATACCCGGACTTGTGTCCAGTATACCTGCCGGGTCCTGAGTCAAGTCCGGGTCCATTGCCACCCCTATGTGGAAGCTGATGACATCCTAACTGGTTGAAAGGTCTTGACCTGCATCCAATTTTCATAAAAAAGGATTCAAGTCATACTATTTGATTGGCACTAGTTGCAAAAAAGAGTTAACAATGCATTCCTTGAAGATTTTCTTGTTAGGGAAGGGAAAGTGTATCATGCTTTTGAAATTGGTAATAAAGATGCTGCCAAATATTTGGACGATACATGCAATGGCAAAATTTTGCCCATAAAACTCTATCTCATAACTTCAAGAATATGGCAAAATTTTGCCCATAAAACTTTATCTCATAACTTCATGAATTTGGAAGATGGTTAAATTCATGCAAAGAGAAACAAAATTTGTTTATACAGCCAAACATAAAGTACTCCTAAAAAGAAGATAAAGTAGGTCATAGTAGAACTCTAGAAATTATCCAGGACAATGGCCCCAGAGGACAAGAATGAGTTTGCAAGCACTTTTTTGTTACTAAAAAACAACAGCCAACACTGAGTTTGCTACTAAAAATCAGTAGCAAAGCTAAAGTACTCCTAAAAAGAAGATACAGGAGGCCATAATAGAACTCTAGACATTATCCAAGACAATGGCCCAAGAGGGCAAGAATGAGTTTGCTAAAAATGTGCAGCAATCACTTCTTTTTAACTAAAAATCAACAGCAAACAGTGAGTTTAATTCTAAAAATCTGCAACAAATACAAAGTACTCTTAAAAATAAGATACAGTAGGCCATCGTAGAACTCTAGACATTATCAAACACAATGGCCCAAGAGGGCAAGAATGAGTTACATACAGGGTAATACCAGTTTTGAGAGAAGACTGTTTTGCAGTAAAAACTCCTGGCAAGAAAATTTATAGAACCATCTTATATAATTATGCTTTTGCCTTTTCATTTTTTGAAACCTCATTTTCAATTGCACTTTCTCCAATGGTGTTTTCAGGGAATGTCATTGATGGGTGATTCAAAGAGCGCAGGGAAGTTTAAGCAGCGGTTTCATTATCATAATCACCACCACGAGTTCATGTTTGTGCATTTTTTCTAACAGAGAAGTCAAGAGGGAAGATGGGGGAAGGAATCAAAAGCTAGAGAAGAGAATTCCGTAAAAAATTAATAAGAAACGGTATCAATAGCAAATAAAATCAAACGAAAAATGTGGTTTTATTCATTTGTGCTCTAGAAGCTGAATGGGCGAGAACAGAGAGTAGATAGAGACTGCAGTTACTTAGATATATAGAAAGAACGCGTCCACGAGAGAGCAAGAAAGAGTCAAAAAGACGGACTTCCGGAAGGATCCAATTCAGGGAGACACAGAGAGACAAACTTTTCCCACTCACAGGATGTAGGAGGAAACATGGAAATGGGAAGAAAGCAATAACTGTATTACCTATTTTGGAGAACAAAACCAAGCCTTCAATGGATCCTGATTTGTCTGCTTCCATCTACCTGAAATATCCCTCGACCTCTGAAAGTTGGGGCTGCATCTTTTGAGAGAGACAGCCACAGGGCTTGAGAGCTCTTTCTTTTAAGAGAGAGAGACACATTGTAGAGAGTTGGGGCTGCGTCTTTTGAGAGAGACCACAACAGGGCTTGAGAGCACTGTCTTTTGAGAGAGAGAGAATGTAGAGGGTCGGGGCTGCACCTTTTGAGAGACCACAAAATGCTCCGGAGCTCTATCTTTTGAGAGAGAGATGCTAGAGAGACGTTAGACAGAAAGAGGGACATTTAGACAAAGGCAAGCTTTATGTGCTTCCCTCACTGCATAAAATTTACTCATTTTTTCATTTCAAAATAGAAATTTAAGCGATTTTATCTTTTTTTAACTGAATTTAAAAAATAATATCAATTTGGATTTTTGAACCACAAAAAAATTAAAATTTTAACTTTTTCAAGAACAATTTTTTTTTTTTTTTATTCTCTTGTAGGTTTGTGTGTATCCTCTCTCTACCCCTCTCTCTATATTACATGCGTAAAAATGGTTTTTTCTTTTTTTTAAACTCTCTTTCCCTTTCATCCAATATTTTTTGTTTTTTGAGTAAGTTCATAATCCTTGAGATTTTTCCTAAATTTAAGGACTCAAACTAGTTGTTCCCCTGATTTTATCCGATAACCATAACGTCAAAGAGATAGAGAGAGAATACGCAACAAGATTTCTCTTAATCTTCTGATCTCATAATCCCTAAGATTTCTCTTAAATTTAATGGCTCACACGAGTTGTTCCCCTTTGATTTTATCGGATGACTATGACTTCCGAGAGGTAGAGAAAATACGTAACAAAAGAGAAAACATTTTTTGGTTCTAAATTTTGTATTTTTGGTTGTTGAGCAATCGAAAATACTTTGAATTCGGTTGTTCAACCNCCAAAAAAACGATAAAG